TCCCTTCCATTTTTGGCGACACAGCCCTCGTATAAGTGGGTACTCTTCTTGTGCACTCGGGCTGCAGCATGATGCCACAGAAACATGGTATGGGAGTGATGTTTTCGTTTTTCAGGCAGTCACAGCACGCATATTACGATAAGCTGTTGCAGGAGAAAGCATGTGCCTCCATCACTGCATGAGAGCTGGGGCTGAAGCCCTTTGAACTGTTTACAAAGCTAAAGCAAACTGATGCCAGCAGGCACCTGTGGGTGGCTGCAGGGTGAATCTGTGTTGAGCTGGTATAAATCTTCCTCTCTTGCTTACATACAGTGTGTCTACCAGCAGCAGCAGCGGGTTCCTCCTGGCTGGATCCTGCCCATCAGGCTGCCCTAGCTGAGTTTGCTTTATCCTCTTGGATGCCCCTGCTACAGGCAACCTCACATTGTTATTTATGGATTGCAAAGGCTCTTTAAAAGCAGCTGCTACCCAAATGGCACACAGTTCCTACAGTGCCCCAGCAAATATCCTGCCAGCATTTTCATGGTTTTGGCACAGGCGTGGGCACTGCAGGTTTGGGGCAGCAAGAGAGCAGACACAAGCTCAGAGCTGTGGCCTGGCACCAAGGTCATCATGTACTGACTTCCTGTGGATGAAATTCAGTACAGATGAATGCAAATAAATGCAGCTTGGGAGAAAAGATTTAAAAGAGAGAGTTTTGTCATAGGCTCTACACTAACAGTTCAAACAGGATGTACTGTATTGTGATTTAAATCGGCAGACAACCCAGCACCATTCAGCTGTTTGATCACCCTCTCCCTTCACTCGGGGGATATGGGACAGAAATGGAAAAAGATAGAACTTGTAGGTTGAGATAAAGACAGTTTAATCAGACAGAAAAATAAGAGAAAATTATTAATAATAATAATATACAAAAAAAAGTGATGCACAGTTCAGTTCTCACCACCAACTGACTGATGCGCAACCCATTCCCTGAGCAGCAGCTGTCCTCCCAGCCAACTCTTCTCCATTTTGTTGTTCAACATGACACCACATGGTGCAGCGGTGGCCAGTCTGCATCAGCTGTCCTGGTTCTGCACTCTGCCATCTGCTTCTCCCCCCTCACTGGCAGGGCAGCACCAGAAGAACACATGTGCTGGGCTCTGTGCAGCACTTCACAGTGACAATCAGAACATCAGCACGTTACCATTATTCTCATCCAGAATCCAAAACACAGCACTGTACCTACCACTAGGAAGAAAATTAACTCTATCTCAGCTGAAACCAGGACATATTGAGAAATATTTCCTGGACTATGTACTTCATCTGTGAAACACACTGTTTCTGGGTGGGGAAGAAAAGAAAAATCTTTGTCCCTTTCATTACTTGCAGTTGTTGTAAGCTACTTCCAATATTCTGAGAAGGAATGGGGACTGCACAAATCCTCTAGCTTCTAAGTTGCACAAAAAGCCAACGCTGAGTGATTGAACTGATGATTTCTTTAGCTTGATTACTTTTCCATATCCTGTGAAAAGCAGAACACGTAAAAGCTCCCATTACTGTACTTTCTGAGGCTGTTTGTGTCAGTGTCCATCGTGTTTCACCACAACACCCTACTGTTTGCCACAGTGGTCCTGGAAACAAAGGACCTGATGGGAATACTACAGAGAACAGGGATGGGAACAGGTGGACCCATGCTGTAACTAACTGTAAGGTTTGTGTTGTTTCCTTCCTGGAGAATAGACGTGCGCTGTGTCTTTCTTTTGGCCTGGCATCTTTGTGTTTCTTTACTCACTACGTCCCTCACTAGATCTTAGATCCAAAATTTGCAGTGAAATTGACTTCAGCCGCCAGTGTGAATTAATTTATCCATCGTATATCTGACATCATGGTGTGTTTCTGTGGAAACACTGTACGGTGTAAGAGACTGCGCTATGCCACAGCCATATCATTTATCTCACTCTCCTTTTTTTCCTACCTCATGGAAGATTTTGGCTTTGTGGCAGAACATATTTTTATATTATCTCCCCTTCATCCCCAACATATTTTCAGAAACGTTATCTGAAGCCTCATGGGATTTGTAGCTTGGAAGTTTTAGGGTTCTGTTTTCTGATGTAGGCTGGGATCCTACACAAGGCTGTGTGTCCCTTGATATGCACAGCTTGTTTTTGCTGGAAGCTACTTGTTAACTTGCCAACTCAAGATGGGAACCATGAGGTATTCAGAGAACGTGCTCCTCCCCATCCCTCTTTCCTAAATGCTTCAAAAGCTGGTTTTAAGGGAGCTTTCCTGCAAATATTAGTCATGGGATACAGAAAATAACACAAAGAATTACAGAAAAGAAAAACATGCTTAATGTGCTTTTGTAGAATTCACACGAAGGAAAAAGATCTTGGGACTTGGTTCTAAGACAGAAAAACATAACACAACAAAGCACATTAAATACTAAGCACATGGTAGTGTGGCAAGTCCTCGAGGATAAATTTTTGCCCACCCTTCTGGTATGAAAATGCGAGGAGACAAGGTCTCAGCTCATTTGGAGATAGGAACTCTGGCAATGAGTTCACAATTGGATGAACAACCCTAAAAGAAGAAGCAATTCTTTATCAGTTAAGCATTATGATAAAACTTCAATAAGGCAAATACAGTAACCATTTCTATGGGCAAGTTATCTCCAGCTTTTTGTTTAATATTGCCCTATTTTACCTGAGAAAGTCTGATTTAGTATCTCTAGTAGTTAGGAAGATCTTTGTGCATTCTTACTGGTGCATTCTTATGAGGATCTATGATCTATGAGGATCTTATTCCTTGAAGACATCCTAGAGCTAGAAGGTCTGCTGATTTCCACTTGCATTATGCTGTCTTCTCTATATATCACTGCATGCATTTCAAGTTTATGCTTTGGTTTGAGAAGAGTCAGTGGATAGGATCTGATCCGTGGAATGATTTTTAGATGCTCTTTAGAGGTATATCCCACTCTGCTGAATCATGGGGTTCAGGTGGGTGCAGGCTAATATGGGCTACGTAAGAGAAGCTGACTTATTTTTGAACCCTGACATTAACTTGAACCCTCTGAATATTTCTTGAACACAGGGTCAGATCTTTCCATGGTGTTGTGATGTGTGTACAGAAGTTAGACTTTAATTTAATGGGCCAGTCATGCAACTTAGGGGAACAGTGAGAGGAAGAAGAGATCAGGCATCCATAGATTAACTTGCATTGAACAGAACAGCAATACTTGCAGATGGAAGTCTTGTTTTCTAGCAGAGTTTGGATTTCTGGGTCTTTTGGTTTTATGCCAAAAAAATAAATATTCTGTGGAAAGCAGGCTCTTCATGACAGGTGAAACACCCAGTTCACCCAGTGTGGATTCTTGACATAAACTCTTCGGTGCGTTGAGCTGGTAACAAAGAGAGGGTTTTATTTGGTGTTCCCTGCTCTCTTTGTTTCTTGCATCACTCTGGGCTCACACATTCTCGTGTGTTCCATCTGCAAGAGCTTTCCCTTGTTGACCTGTAAATCAAATACCCCTCAAGCTAGGGTCTGCATTCTCTGACTTACAGATGGTGCTCTATGAGGGGCAGGTTATTTATTTTATGTCAAGCTTTCTGGAAAGTTATGGCTGAAATTAAAAGTCTCCATCTGTATTTAGCCACAGGTGAGCATTCTGGATACCAGGAAGTCTGTCACATGCTCTTATTAGGGTAGCCATGTTTTTTACCAGGAGGAAACACTGAGGATAAAGAAATATGGGATCTGATATGAGTTGTGATTGAAGGAAACAGCAATGATCTTACGTCCTCACTTCTGACTTTGTCTCTGTGCTGGCTGGTGGCCAAGGTGCCAACCGCTTCTACGACAACATTGAAGACATGATTGGTTATCGGCCATGGCCTTTGATCAAGATATGCTGGCTGGTGTTCACCCCGGGTCTGTGCTTGGTAAGTGCGTGCAGTTATGACAACAAAACAGATTGTTCTGGGTCCCCACATTCTTCGTAGGAAAGGCTGATTTGTCTTCAAGGTGCTACTGTCATTTTATCAAGCTCCTTGTGGAGAAGTACAAGTTTATCCATAGCTGAGGTGTCAACTTTTTTCCACTGTAAAGCCTCATCTTTTGCCTGGAAAATTAATTCAGCCTGAAAAGCCATTGTTTACAGGAAAATATATCCTAAAAGTCTGAAGAGTTTTGGTCAAATTATTTTTGAATAGAAGACTGGTGAGTGTTACACTGTTGTGAAAAACTTGTTTCAGTCCATGTTCCTGCAGCCTCCCATTTTCTGTTCATAAATATCTTTCTATGGCCATTTGCTTTCTGTGTTATTAAATCTCTTTGAAAACTTTTCAGACAACTGTATTAAAGAAAACAAACAAACAAAACAACAAAAAATCTTCAAAGATAAGTTCCCACCTCTTTCAAGTTCATGTCCAGTTTTACTTCACTGACATTTACAAGTTTTCTGTGCCAAATTCTGATTCCACGTCTGATCTTGTGGATTGTTTCCTTTGTCATCAGTGGGAATACAGACAGGATATAGCTACAGTTTACAGAAGAATTCTGTTCCTCTGTCCTTGGAGTCCACTAGGAATTGAATATTGGGGGAATTTTCAAACTAAATCTGATTCAGCCCAAATTATTTGAGTGTTCTGTGGCTAGAGACCCCCAAGATGGACGAGTCTGTACCTGGCACTTCTGAAATGCTTCTGAAAAGGACAGCAACAGTTTCTAACCTCAACATGACTAAATTTCAGTCTCTGTGTTCCCAGACCCTCAAATCTGCTGCCAATTTTGCTTAGGTTGAACCCCCATGGAGCCTGTGGAGAAGCCTGGACTTAGCTGAGAAAACTGTGCATGCAGTCAGCATACATCAGGCTCTGGCTTGTTGCAGTGAGCAATGGCCATGCTAGCTCATGCACAACAGCACACTCATTGCCACCTAGCTGGCACGTGCAGGGCCAAGGATGTAGATGTTATCTACATCCTCTGTCACTGTGCTGTCTGCAGTGAGGTCTGCAGGACCAGTGCTTTCAGATGTGGTTATGCTGCTGTTTGTTGGCAGGTCCTGGTCTGGCTTTCATAGCATACCCAACAGCAGTAACAATGATGCCCGTGTCTCAGCTTTGGTCCTGCCTCTTTTTCCTCATGCTGATCTTCTTGGGACTGGACAGCCAGGTACAGCAAGCTAACCCTCCTCCTCCAACTCCTAAGTGTCTGTTGCCACTCTGCACACGTCTTCATGCCTGTGGGAAAGGATTAGGTGGTTATATGCTTTGCTGGTACCTCAAATACATTCTCCACACTGTCCACAGCTCTTTCACACCACAGATACTCACAGCCAGGGCTGAAGTGAGGCCAGTGGGTATATGTGGTGGCATCTCTGTTCGGCATCTTTATCTTCACATGTATGCGAGGGTGTCCCAGCACATCTCCATTTGGGGAGTGGTCTTGCATCCACCTCTTACCCTCCAGGAGGAAAACCCAGCAGAGCAGTGTGAAACCCTGGTATGCAGGCTCAAGGGGAGAGGGGGTGTCCTGGCCTGGCTGCCAAGCAGGGCATTCTGTTCAGGCTCTACTTCGTAGCACCTAAACCTTTGAACCTCCACTTCTCTTTGTTCCCTGAATCAAAGTCCCCTCTTTCCTTACCTTGTTGATTGTTCTCCTTCACGCTGGCCTAGCTGTCTTGGGAGAAGTTTCCAAGTCTTGAGGAGAAAAGGACAGTGAGCATGTTCTTGGGGAAGGGGAGACAGTAGGCTTTGTAACCTATATTCTCCTACAGTTTGTCTGTGTGGAAAGCATGGTGACAGCTCTCATTGACATGTTCCCGGGAGTGTTTCGAAAGAAGGGACGTCGGGAGCTGCTGATCCTGGCCATTGCGGTGATGTGCTACCTGCTGGGCTTACTGCTGGTCACTGAGGTAAGAGAGGTGGAGCTGGGCTACAACCAGACACCAGAAATCCTGCATGACTGCTCTGGAGGAGCACTTAGAGGCAACAGGCTTGTCTTTGATGCTTTTGTTTATCCTTTATTTTCAATGCATTAGCAGCTGTCTCTCAGCCACTGTCGCTGATGGTGTGATGCTCCTGCACCTGTTATGGAGCCACAGAGACAGCCCCTGCAGCTCGATAAGGCTGCCTTATGCAAATATCACCTTGCTCAAGCAAGCTGAGCTGCATATTCAGAAGCTGTTCTAAGGGCAGTGATCACTTGCTGGTTGTTTTGCATGAGAAGCAGGGTGGCAGGAGGGCAGGATGGGGTAATGAGTGCAGCATCATCTTGCCTCAGCCAAGGGAGAGCCTGTTGTCTCTGGACCAGAAGCAGCAGAGTTGTGTTGATGCAATGCCACGCATGTGATCAAGAGAGCTTCAACTGTGAGAAACTGAACTCAGGGATTCCATGGATTTGGTATGCCCCTCATGTGGAGGCATCTACACCCATTGTTGCAGCACACCACCTTATATGTGTTGGGATGAAGGGATTCCACTATTCTGTCAGTGGATAGAGTCCTTCAGCACCCTTGGAAAGCATCTGCTTGACTTCTGTTGGCATGGCTTTCTCTTTGGAAAACACACATGGAAATATGAGGCGACTGAATTCTAGAGCTAGCTGATGGCAAGTAGACAGGGCTCAACCCAAGAGATAGGGGCAGCGGGAAGTGATGTGCCTGCCATCATGGGGTATGGACCTTGAGAAATATGTAAACATGGGTGCAGGCAAAATAAGGTATCATCTGAATATCCTGGCAATCAGGATCCCCATTTCTTAGATGCAGAGATTTTCACTGTCATAGTGCTTTGAAGTAATGCTGGAAACTTGCTAGGTGATTAACAAACAAAACCAAACCAATAATAAAGTGCTCCTGTGGACATGGAAACCTGCTATGACTCCCTTTTCTCTACCTCTGTTACAGGGTGGGATGTACATCTTCCAGCTCTTTGATTACTATGCTGCTAGTGGCACATGCCTGCTATTCCTGGCCATTTTTGAAGTCATCTGTGTAGGATGGGTTTACGGTAAGTAGAGGGCAAAAACCTGTGCTGCTGCTTCTCAAGGCTGGGGCTGGGAAAGTGGAGGTGGATGGAGAAGATTCACCACTCCCTTAGGAAGCAAGAAAATGCTGTAATTACCCTCTTTCTTGTCTGGTTTCCAGTGTGTTTCCTCACAACATTTTTTAACTGCTCTACATTTAGAGTAGAAATGACTTTTCCATCTCTGAAACTTCCTTATCTTGTGTTACATTGCTGCTCTTTCCATTCATCCTGTGGGTTAGAAAACCAGCTACGGAAGAGTGACTGCTGTTCGTCAGACTCTGTTTCAGTCTGTACCCTGTACCTCTGGTTTAATCCTGCCAGTTTGTTTCACACAAAGTGCTGGAATACAGACTTGCTGTGTGCCACTTCTGTGATGATGCCCGCTTTATATTTTTCACGGGCTGTCCCAAAAGATGGCAGTCCCACGGGCTGATGGCAGTCCCAAAAGAAATGAATGGGACTGCCTTGGCACTCAGTGAGGACTGTAACCAAACCACGCAGGAGCAGAATTAGGCTGAGCTCAGTGAACTACCAGAAGGAAAGCAGTCACTTGTTGTTGTGCAGTAAGCAGAAAATCCCGTGGTATCCAGGAAGGTCTCTGCCCTGCTGAGCAGTGCATGAGCCCAACAGGCTGCAGTCCCCCTCACTGAAGTACATACTGAGGCTGGTGGTTTCCAGGAGAAGGGGTTAGTTTTGTGTGTTATGGAGCAGAGGCTTCCTGTCCTTGGCATAATAGAATCATAGAATCATTAAGGTTGGAAAAGACCTCCAAGGTCATCTAGTCCAACCATCAGCCTGTCACCACCGTGCTCTCTAACCCATGTCCCTCAGTGCCACATCCACATGCTTCTTGATATGGCAGTCCAGCATCTTCAAGGATAGCATAAAGTCATATAGATGAGATCAAACTGACAGCATCCTTAAAAATGGCAACTGCTGGCTCCTTGCTGCATCAGGTATTGTGCCCTGATCAAACTAAGGAAAACACTGCAGGCATGAGCATCATTCATATCTTTTTTTTTTTTTTTTTTGATAGCTAACATTGGATGTTTAGCGAGGAGTACATGGGGAGTATAGTAAGTTGGCAATGATATTTTCTGGGAATATTCTTCCAACTTCTAAAAACTTGTAAGTCAAGGATTTCCAGAGCTGAAAGTAAAATCTTCCTATTTATCTTCTGTATTTTTTTGTAGTTGGCTCATGTAAGCGTTTATCATCCAAAAAAACCCTACAGCAAGTAGTTCCACAGCTCGGTCTGTTGTGGTATGAGGTATCACAATCTTTTGCTTGTTTTGAACCTGCCACCTGCCAGTTCCTTTTTCTGCCCCACAGATCTTACTTCAGAAGAGACAGGAGGATAGTCACTCCACATTTGCTTTCTTTGGTATGTGTGGTTTTACAGGGTTTGCCATGGCTGTAGTGCACTTGCTGATAAAGATGTTCTCATGCCATATTCTCCAAACATTCAAACAAATCGAACCAATTTCTGGTCTGGAAAGACTTCTCTCTCACTGAAATAGGAGCAGGTTCTGCTGCTTCTGTTTAACCTTCCAGGGATGCAAGAAAAGTGTGTCTGTAGGAGAGATTTATTCTAGAGAGATATCCTGGGAGGGAAACTCAAGTGAGAGCTTGCAGTGCCAGACCTTGGCCAGATTTGAATTTAATCAACTTCTGTAAGTTCCCTGTGAGATTTCTAAGGAGAAGGAGATTTCCATCCATGCATAACAGGGCTTTGCTATCACCACCCTGAGCTACATTAAATTTACATTACAGTTTGCCCATTCTTCCCTCCTTCTGCCCTGCTCCTCGTGGCAAGTAGCCATTCCATGGGTCTGATTCTGGGCTGAAATGCAGACAGTAGGCTGAGACGGGCCATCTTAGTAGAAAAGATGTGCCTACTGCCAACTACTGCTTTTTTCCCAGCCTCAGAATTGGCAGGACCAAGCCTCTTGCTTACACTGTGAAGAATTACAACGTTTTCGCTAACACAAATACACGCTCTGAGTTTCCCCTCTCCCAGCACATACGCCAGCCGCCCACCACTTGGCAGCCTCCCTCTGCTGACAGGCAGATGCTCTTGCTCAGATCTAAGGCTTTCCTCACGTACTGCTCTCTGCCTGCACAAGGACCTCACAGCATCCTACCTGCCAATCCTGTTTGCTGCAGGGAGGGACAGAGGTGATTTGGTTTCTTCCCCCACCTGTGTCCCTTCCATTTTTGGCGACACAGCCCTCGTATAAGTGGGTACTCTTCTTGTGCACTCGGGCTGCAGCATGATGCCACAGAAACATGGTATGGGAGTGATGTTTTCGTTTTTCAGGCAGTCACAGCACGCATATTACGATAAGCTGTTGCAGGAGAAAGCATGTGCCTCCATCACTGCATGAGAGCTGGGGCTGAAGCCCTTTGAACTGTTTACAAAGCTAAAGCAAACTGATGCCAGCAGGCACCTGTGGGTGGCTGCAGGGTGAATCTGTGTTGAGCTGGTATAAATCTTCCTCTCTTGCTTACATACAGTGTGTCTACCAGCAGCAGCAGCGGGTTCCTCCTGGCTGGATCCTGCCCATCAGGCTGCCCTAGCTGAGTTTGCTTTATCCTCTTGGATGCCCCTGCTACAGGCAACCTCACATTGTTATTTATGGATTGCAAAGGCTCTTTAAAAGCAGCTGCTACCCAAATGGCACACAGTTCCTACAGTGCCCCAGCAAATATCCTGCCAGCATTTTCATGGTTTTGGCACAGGCGTGGGCACTGCAGGTTTGGGGCAGCAAGAGAGCAGACACAAGCTCAGAGCTGTGGCCTGGCACCAAGGTCATCATGTACTGACTTCCTGTGGATGAAATTCAGTACAGATGAATGCAAATAAATGCAGCTTGGGAGAAAAGATTTAAAAGAGAGAGTTTTGTCATAGGCTCTACACTAACAGTTCAAACAGGATGTACTGTATTGTGATTTAAATCGGCAGACAACCCAGCACCATTCAGCTGTTTGATCACCCTCTCCCTTCACTCGGGGGATATGGGACAGAAATGGAAAAAGATAGAACTTGTAGGTTGAGATAAAGACAGTTTAATCAGACAGAAAAATAAGAGAAAATTATTAATAATAATAATATACAAAAAAAAGTGATGCACAGTTCAGTTCTCACCACCAACTGACTGATGCGCAACCCATTCCCTGAGCAGCAGCTGTCCTCCCAGCCAACTCTTCTCCATTTTGTTGTTCAACATGACACCACATGGTGCAGCGGTGGCCAGTCTGCATCAGCTGTCCTGGTTCTGCACTCTGCCATCTGCTTCTCCCCCCTCACTGGCAGGGCAGCACCAGAAGAACACATGTGCTGGGCTCTGTGCAGCACTTCACAGTGACAATCAGAACATCAGCACGTTACCATTATTCTCATCCAGAATCCAAAACACAGCACTGTACCTACCACTAGGAAGAAAATTAACTCTATCTCAGCTGAAACCAGGACATATTGAGAAATATTTCCTGGACTATGTACTTCATCTGTGAAACACACTGTTTCTGGGTGGGGAAGAAAAGAAAAATCTTTGTCCCTTTCATTACTTGCAGTTGTTGTAAGCTACTTCCAATATTCTGAGAAGGAATGGGGACTGCACAAATCCTCTAGCTTCTAAGTTGCACAAAAAGCCAACGCTGAGTGATTGAACTGATGATTTCTTTAGCTTGATTACTTTTCCATATCCTGTGAAAAGCAGAACACGTAAAAGCTCCCATTACTGTACTTTCTGAGGCTGTTTGTGTCAGTGTCCATCGTGTTTCACCACAACACCCTACTGTTTGCCACAGTGGTCCTGGAAACAAAGGACCTGATGGGAATACTACAGAGAACAGGGATGGGAACAGGTGGACCCATGCTGTAACTAACTGTAAGGTTTGTGTTGTTTCCTTCCTGGAGAATAGACGTG